CACATATCATATGTATGGCCATTGGTAAAACCTGAATAATACAAGTGATCTTTATTTAACTCCGACGTAGTGAGTCAGACCACGTTGATTTTATTGGCTGTGTCTAAATACCACAATCCTAGCGTATTTACGAATATTCATGAGAGGCTTCGAACGATTAAAAAGAATCCGATATAGTACTTTATTCCCGGAATGTTAACTTACTTGATTCGTTGGCGTGAGGTATATTTAATAATGAAAAATATCTCACGGATTTCTCATATTTTGTGTAATCACAATTAATTTAATTTTAATAATATCAACATATAACAAATATTCCCTTTTTAAAAAGCTTTTGTCAATGCACGTTTTGCCATACACGGTTTTCCACTATTTATAAAATTAAATGCAATACTGTTAATAAATTATAATGGGTTTATAGTTGGTATTTAAGAATGTATTTAACTCTTTTGAATTGTTTAATAAGGGTTGTGTAAAAAAAATCTTACTTACTTTCACAAATTAGGAAACGTCTCTCGTACACCTTTCAGCAAATCTAAACTTGTCCTAGCCAACTACGTCAGAGTTAAAAATAAATTGTAGATTTCAGAGGTCATCATATCATTTATCACGTTTTTGTGTTTTTGTGTTATATACACCTGCTTTGATTTCAACTTTTCTTAAATTCATGGAGCATTTGATATTTTATATGATAAAACTAATGAAGGATAGAATGGAAGAATATATACCAATCTAAAAAGTAATTTTAACATTAAGCCATCCACCGTGACTGCAAAAGACACTATTTATAAATAGTTTTTTTTTTTCCAAAATGCTTAAAATAGAACTTTCCCTTTGTAGGTTTCATTCTTTGTTTCATAATTAAAAATTCAAGCATTCAGATTGATAAAAATATTTTTTTAACCACCGATAAATTGTTTGGTTATTTCTACAACTATAGTACGTAAATATCACAATTTTTAAAACTCTCCAAATTTATATTTATTAAATGTAAAATTCTCTTATCCGTACCACAGTAAAAGTTTTATTAAAATAAGATATCTATGACAAAATTTTCTTTTACTTCAAGTTAATGATATATAAATTAATTATTTTATATCAAGCACATATGTTAGTGAAGTTTATTTATATATGTATATATATTCAAACTTTATTATGTTTGGGAATTCATTCATCTCTTAAGAAATCTAAAAGGGAAATAAGAGATCTTACTTACAGAAAATAAAATAAATCCATTGTAACCCAATAAACACATCCAAGTATCCCGAGAAGAAAATCAGATTACGTTGATTTTATTGGTTGTGTCTAAATATCCCGAGCCTAGCGTATTTATGAATATTTACGAGGTGCTTCTAACGATTAAAAAGAATCCGATATAGTACTTTATTCCCGGAATGTTAACTTACTTGATTCGTTGGCGTGAGGTATATTTAATAATGAAAAATATCTCACGGATTTCTCATATTTAAACTTGAATTTTTGTGTAATCACAATTAATTCAATTTTGATAATATGAACATATAACAAATATTTGCTTTTTTAAAAAAGCTTTTGTCAATGCACTTTTTGTCATACACGGTTTTCTACTATTTATAAATTTAAATACAACACTGTTAATAGATTAAAAAAAAAATAATTGAATTAAATATAAATGAATAATATAATAAATATATAAATAAGATACAGAAAGAAATAAACAAACAAATAATAGTTGTAAATGAATAATATAATAATGAACATCTAATTTTTCGTTTTTTAAACGGAGGCAATGAGAGAGAATAAATCGTATTAGTCAATTTTCCAGAGAAAAAAAAACAAACTAAAATAAGAAAGTAATTATCTATTTAAGTGACACATGCCAAATATTACAAATAAAACAAATTGATTACAATTGCATATAAAATATTGGCGTCCTGCCTCAAGGATATATAAGATGTTAAAAAATGAAATTTACAAAATGTATAAATCGTATCTTTTTTCACAATTTTAAAACCTTAGTTACCTCTGGGCTCATTTAAAACATATGCATGTTTCCTTCTTTTGTACATTAAAAATAAAAATGATAATGATAAGTTTTGGCTACTATGACATGTATATCAATGTTATTCATAAAAAAGCATTAAATTGATAATTTCCAAACATGTTTTTTAATGAATTAAATTAAGGTGCTCTTTTGAACTCTTGGCAATTTTTGAGAATATAATAATCGCTACAGAAATCTAACAAGGAATGTGCAACAAGAAATCTTACTCACTATCAGAAAACATAGAATGAATAGCTTGTAACACATTAAGAACATCATTACCCGAACTACGTCACTATGTATATATGTCTACTATATATGTAGACTAGGAGAATTCAGATTTTTATAAATTGCTAATGTATTACATCCGAAAAAAAGAATTCTGCACAATATCTCAAGTGTTTGGATTAAGAAAACCTTTTCTTTAAAAAAGCTTACAGTTTTTTTTGTAAGATTGCAAGATTGCGGCAAAGACAAAAAAAAAAAAAAACAAAACAAAAACAAAACAAACAAACAAACAAAGGTACATTAAAAGTTCAATGGCTGTAGGTCTCGGAGCCAAGATAGTGAAAGCTATTGATATTCAGTGTACACATCTTTTTTAAGCGTGGAATCACATATTTTGTCAAAAAAATTGGCAAGTTAATTAGAGTGTCACTTCATTAACATCGATATAGTCCAACCCCACGAATGTCCCGTCTCCATCTTTTAAGAAAGGACATTGTGTATAGTTTTTATATGTGAACATCTGATAAGTTGTATATTCTTTGGTAAATTAGATCGGAGCATTATTGGAATGTGTCAATGCTCGAGATCAACACATCGTAAAAAACTAATTGTTCGTCAAATGAACACGTTCTTACATTGTATCCAGAACTCCCAGAGTTTGTAAACAAGTTCATAATTAAGAGGTTACTGCCCTTTGCTCTACACACTCATAGTATCAATAACCATTCATAACACAACAATAAAATATAAGTAAGTGTATTGTACAAAATTAATATATCAATTAAAAAAACATAAATTATACGCTATTTGTGTTTACATGTAGGTTGATGCAAAGTAAGAGAATGAATATATGCATTCTTTTTCAAAATTATGTAATAAAAGAAAACAAATACATCGTATATGATGAACTCATTGAGTTATCAAGCTTCAAGAAAAATAAATTATTAAAATTACCAAAGAGATGCACAATATATTAACATTCCTTGATATTTTTTTATATTTCATTTCCCTAACTACAGTGTCTTGTCTTTTGTATTTGCATATTTTTCAGTCAAAGAAAATGAATACTTTGGATAATTACTGGGGACGCAAAAGGAAACACTCTGTTGTGGATTCAGACAATAACTTGCATGAAGCAAAAAGACAAAAAGAATGGTAACTACATCTGAAATTGAAAGTCTGACTTTTCTTCAGAGTTGAATTGGAAAGGAATCTATAACAGGCTGTGAGTTTGTTTTAAAGCTCACATCTCTGTAGATCATTATGGACAATTAGTCAATTTCATTTTTATTGAATATTCCTTACGCTTGATCTGGTTGGATAGATTATACATATAATTTATATGTGTCCTCACATTTATAAAAAGAAACTTTTTGTTTACAACTTTCTAAAAAAGATAAGTTTGTTAATGTGAAACAATTTATGGAGAATATGTGAAGTAAGTATTCATGTTCCTACTTTAAATGTTTATTGAAAATTTCAAATCCTGAGGTCTAGAGTTTTTGTTTCAAAACCAACAAAACAGATTATATTTCTGAAAGTATGTTTCTTTATAATCAATTTCGTACTGTTTCCCTCTATTCCAAAGTTGGGATGAAAGTCATGGAGGAAAAACAAAATGGAAATCATTATTGTATACTGGGCCAATATTTCCTCCTGCATTTGAGCCATTACCACCACCAGTGACCCTTATTTATGAAGGTAAATTGCCTCTTTCTTTTTCTTTTTATATATGTATTCTAATTTCTCAGACACATCAGACATCACTTAATATGTGGCTTAAACTTCATAGAAAAAATAATAATTGTGGTGTACTGTAAGAGCCAATCAAACCCCCTACCCTACTCCTCCACGCGGTTTTTAGTCAACAAGGCAACAACAAGTGAGAGGAGATAGATAAGACACTTTCCAGTAGATCGAAATCTAGTTTTCGACAAAAGTACTTTCTTTCTTTGTTGTGTATTGTGGCTTATCCACAATCGCGTTTTTGGTCCATTGCTCTAAATAGGGAAGGGGGAGCATTGCCTAAACAGTACACCATAGAAAAGTCTTAATGATATCTAAGATGTTTTTAATTTCATAAAAAAAAACATATATACAAATTAAGTGTAAAATATTGAAGATTCTTTAACGAGAATTTTATGTGTAGTTTGGAAATGGTGAGTTAAGTTTAGTTATTGTCATATGTTATCAATTACATTTGGTTTACTGGTGTATATCATATGTCTTAGACGGGTGGCGTTCTCGCCTAAATTGTTTCATCTATAAAATAATATAATCTGGGTTATATTCTTTAGATTAATGTGATTCAAAAGATATAATCATGAAAGTGAATAGCGGATATACATGTAATGCTCATATTTATGAAAAAAAATTTCCTGCGCTTTTTTCCCCGAGAAACTGAATTATAGACGATGAGTTATATTTTAGGAAAATCATTAAAATTGACGAAAAGGACGGAAGAATACGCTTGTCTGTACCTTGCAAAGAGAGAGAGAGTTAGTAATCACAAGCGATATGATGAAAACTTTTGGAATGACTGGCGGGAGGTAAAATTTCTGCTACCTTTCTGAAAAAAATTGAATCAATATAACTTTTTTGAAATGAATTTGTTAGTAAATAGTGTAAAAGTGCAAGTAAAAATATGCAAATATAATTCAATATTAATTCAATATTAATCTGTTAAAAGCTAATGGAGCCGAACGAGAGAAGGGAGATTCGATCACTTGATAAGTGCAATTTTACAAGAATGGAAAATTACATCAAAAAGAACAAGCTTCAAGAGGTAGGTCTAGCAATTATAAATCTCAGTTTTCATCTCAGTTTCACTTTTCTATTATTAATTCCTTTGGTAAAAGTGAGACTGAGATCAAAACTGAGCTCGTCCAAGTTTCATGGCCCCGGTACCTAGCGTAAAGTTATTCCTCTAGGCATACTAAGCGAATATTCCTGAATAGAAAATAAAATTACGGTATTTTTGTACAATACTTGAACAAATTTGTATAGATTTTGTTAAGTAAAATGATATTTGAAAAATAAAACTACACTTCTCTATTCTCCTATAATTTCAAATTAAACATTTTTAAAGGACATTTTATGCAAAATAAAACTCATTTTATTTGTAACGGTATACCTTGTTTTGCATTTGTCTTTAAATAATTAGATCCAGAGAAAGAAATTGAAAGAACTGAGAAGGGCAAATGAATGTTGCATGGTAGATGGGCAGAAGGAAAAAATAAAAAATCCGATGGTAGAGCCTCCTGCGGTATTTGTTGGGAAGGGTGACCATCCCCTAAATGGAAAAATCAAGCACAAAATAACCCCCGAGATGGTTACAATTAATTGTAGTGAGTAAGTATGGATACTGACTGCTCTTTTATTTACAAAATAAGCAACTAGTTCAATATAACCAACAAACCAAACCACATTTTACATTTTGGACTATAAAAAAAAATAGAACTTAACATTGACACATAAATTATGTAACATTGTTTGCTTAATAATCGTGACGTTTCAAAGTGTGTATTTGTTTAATATGCACAATTAAGATCTACAGTAATTTAACATCAATAGAAATACATTTTCTTTTAATAATTATTGATAATTTGTTATTTAAAGAGGGGTAGAGAGTAAACCACCTGAAGGATGTACGTTTAAAGAAGTTAAGCACGATGACAAGGTATTGAAACTCAAGTATTGAAACTCAAGTAGGGCCATCTTTTAAAAAAAAGTTTGCTTGCCCTCTCATGACCCAAGATAAAAAAAAATTGGGTAGGTAGGACGGGACAATTTTTTTAAAAATTCAAATTCACCTGCAAACGTGAAGTTAAAATAGTTATTAATAAATAAAAAAAATAATTGCTTCCTAGAGGACAAAAAAATTTTTAGTCTGGCCGTTTTAGTCAATCAGTTGGGAGGTGGTAAACAAACAATTTTTTTAAAGATGGCCTAGTAATATTATGTAATCCGACATCTGTGCAATCTGTTTCACTTTGAATTCATTGTGAAATGTGTTTATTTCATTCCCATTTTACTATTTTCCATCTTCTTTACATTTTGCAATCGGACATCCTGACTATTCTGTCACAAAATGTGTCTCCTTATGCTTGTCGGTGTAGGCAGGTTTCACTGTAATTGAGTTATACAAATTTAATGAACCATCATAATTGTTCTACTATTTCTGATTAATTAAAAACAAACGAAAAGAAATTTATAAGTTACAGTTAACAAAATTGTTTTTATATTGATGGAACGACATAGTACGGGCATATTTTATTGTGATTTAAAAGAAAGTTATTTTGTTATATGCTGATCTGACGACACATAGCGTTAAATATCAGGTAAATGATAAGATCATTAATCTTAAGCGTTAAGTTTATCAGACTTAATAAAGACATAGAATTGAATGAATAAGATTATGCTAACTTCAAAAAATATGGAAATAAAGGGTTTTACTTTTTCGAAATCTTGACAGCAGCCGTGAACTTGCACCAAGGATATCAGTAAACTTCAACATATCACAACAAGATTAATGTCTTTAATTTTTTTTCTTTTATTTTAGGGCTTATATCTTGCATTTTGGTATGACCCTCTCTTAGAGAAGAGAAAATACATCGAGTTAAGCGCATCATCACCCCAAAAAGTGAGTGAAGCTTAGTATGAAGATTAAACTTATTGTTCAATCTTCATATCTATATCTATATCTATATCTATCTATCTATCTATCTATCTATCTATCTATCTATCTATCTATCTATATATATATATATATATATATATATATATATATATATATATATATATATATATATATATATATATATATATATATATATATATATATATATATATATATATATATTAGCTATGAGAAATATGAGAACTTTTCATTTCTGAACATTTCGAAAGCAGAGTGATAAAAAAAATGAATATAATCATTCACGATCCGTCAAAAAATTATTTTATTTAAGATTTACATGTTTTATATTCTAGGTTATAAGAGACAAAAGAAAATACCAAGTTGCAAGAAAATTACACGAGGAAATTGGAGCTGTGCGAGATATGTATGAATCAGATTTTCATGCAGAAGATATCAAATTATTACAGTCTTCCCTGGCCCTGTATTTAATTGACACGGTGGGTAAACGTGTTTAAATGTTTCATGCAACCTGATTGATCTTATTTTGAATTATTTGCTTGGACTATTGTTAAATAGTTAAATTTCTCATTTACTTTTACATTGAACAGAGTACTAGTTATTGCAAAACAATTAAGTACATTCCTCGTATAAGTTGATTTTCACATTTATGTAAATATTTGTACTTGAGCCCTTTTATTTAATATAAATCAGACCTATAAGAAATTGACATTTAGAATCATAAACACTGACAATCGCCATCAAACGATCGGCATTGCCAGCAAGCAATCATCAGAAAAACAAGCTTCACAAGCATAACGAACATACTAATTAGGAACACAAACACTGAAATAACCTTGTAGTTAATCTTATTCAATATAGATAGTGGTATTTTGTTTACATTTGTGAAGACCATTAGATTAACGAACTCACTCGCTAAAACTACAGCTTGGATATTCAACATATAAACATGTACCTATCAGGCTTGGGCCGAATAACATTGTATAGTAAGGCATTACTTTACCATGACTTCAAGAATTTGGCCATTGAATAACAATTACTATAACTCTAATTCTTTACAGTAATGCATTCAATTTCCACGACTTTAATAAAGAAATGCATTACCTTTATCATTACTTTTGGGGTTTTCAAAAACAGAAATACAAAAATTATAAACATCCACCCCACCCCTTCAAAACTACACATGATGAATGTTGAATCAGATTTGAATTCAAGTACATGTATCTATTACACTGGGAAAAACATATAAATTTTGATTATTCATAAAAAGTTCAAACTCTTCAGTTGCCACTAAGATAAAAACACTTACAATATGCACTTTTTGTGCAGCTATTGATGTCAAAGAAGAATTTATCATTCGGGACATTTAAACCCCTCCCGGGATTATTTGAATTAATCAGACATAAATTGTGTTGATGTAGTACCTTATGAAAAAAAAATTAAATACATTAAAAAACTTGTAAAAGGGGTTGAACAGCACGTATTTGTACAATGTACAAAGTAGCATGCCTGTCTCCTATTCCTTTAGGTCCAATGGGCTTGTCATGGTCAGCTCCAATTAAATCTTATGTAAATTAAGTATGAAAAATTAAATGCAGGGTAATTTCACTTTCAAGAATATTGTAAAAGATAAAGTGTATTTAAATATATTCAGCGTGTTTACTTCAATAGGCTAAATTGATTCATTCAAGTCTATAGTTTAAAAAATATTTAATCTTAATAATAATTTCCATGTCCGTATTTTAAAAGAAAAATGGGTTTACACAAAATAATGCATCATAATGCTGTGTAATACCAGCATAACTCTAGAGATGAGAAAGTAATGCATTCATGTAATGCAGATTACACATTACCAGCATTAATTTGAGTTCAAGAAATGCATTGGAATACATAACCATTACATTTAGTGCTACCCCAAGCCTGATACCTACATGTATACTTCCTTTAGCAAAGAAAATCTTAATATAATCAAGTCATCGTCAAAGTATCAAATTGAATTGGCATAACATAGTAGTATCTACAAAACTAAATACTGAGTGCAGGGAACTAATTTTGATGCATAAATCAGTATCAGCATAAGTAAAATAAGCATTAACATCCAGCTGACATCAAGATCAGCATTCAGAAAACATTGCCAAGATCAGCATCAGCAAACAAAGGCTTACATAAGTAGCATATCTGTCATTGACCTACCTAAAATCAGCATTGACCTACTGGCATCAGAATATCAATGAGGTTTTTTCAGTAAAAAAATAAAACAGAGAGAGAAAACTGGTTAAATTATCTAAAATATTAATATATATTGAGATATAATGATAAAATGATAATATAAGGCATTTTTATCGCTTTAAACTGCAATGCTGAAATTCAGTTATCTACTTCCGGTAGCATGAAGCTACTTCCGGTAGCTAGGACCTAATTATAAAACAGCAAAGGTAGCATCAGAATAAGGATAATTAGCATTAAATCAGCAAGAAAAGGAAGCATTCAAATCAGTATACTGTCAAAAAATTAGTTCTCTGCACTGTCATTTATGATTTTTTTTAAATCAGCATAAATGCTTTTAAAAAAGACTTCTCCGTAGACTTAGGCATGTTTTTCTCAGCAATAATCGCGGTAAATCCATTTTCAGTTTTGTATACGACCGGGATATCCAAAAAAGACAGGATTAAGTGCGGAAACAAAAGGATGTTGCTCTTTGTTGGGATCAAACATCAGCTTGTCTCGAAATGCAGACGCTTATTTTCTTAAGCTAGAATTCATGGGAAAGTCGTCCATACCTTTTAAAAGAAAAGTTGAAATTTCAGAAGCAGCTTACAGAAAGTTGAAAGAAATAATGGAAGGGAAAGAGGAGGATGATAAGACATTCGACTTAGTGAAGGTAAAAACATTTATATATAAATTAAAGAGGAAGACTGATTTTTCATTCCTTCATTTTTCATCGCATATGTAATCGAGGCAGTCCCGAAAAAAGACTGTGTTACTTAATATTAAGGAATATTTTTATCTTTCTGCAGGCACCATTGTTAAATAAATACATGAAAGGTTTATGTGGATCCATAGAAGGAGTTACTTTAAAAACATTTAGAACATACCATGCAAGTGCAGTCTTTGAAAAAGAACTGCAAAATATAACGAAAGACAAAAGTATGTCATTTTAGCTTACGTTATTATCACATCAAATACAACAACAAAAACATAATAAAAACACTAACTTTGTTTTACTTTACAATCTATTAACAATTTTAAGAAAGTAAAATTGAATCAATGAATGCACTTACACGTAACCATCTCAATTTTAGGGAGCCGGATGGTTAAAGAATTTAACAAAGCCCTCCAGATAGTGGCTTCTCGGTGTAATCACACAAACGTGGACACAGCAAAAGAAAACTACATAGACCCCAGGATAATAGTTGCCTGGTGAGCAATTTTACAACATTCTCAGTTTTAATGTAAATGTAGATTGAAACTGTGATGACTCAGGCTAACAGCATTCTCTTACCATGCGATACATTTATCTCAAGACTTATCAACTAAAATATATACGTTACATCAGTTGGAAGTTGATACTATAAATTATAAATGCGGAGAAAGACTTACAAAGATTTACAAAAATATTAAAGCAACAATATTTACATTCAGTGTAATTTTCTTTATGAAATTCATAGGAACATTTAACATTCAATACCCTATAACACACGCGAAACCTTCTAATTGCGCGGTGGAATACAAAGTAAGAACTAAATTCATTTTCATACTCTTGGAACATCAAAATGTATATTGTTTTGGCTCAATTTAATTAAAAACAATTGCCCTATTAGATTATTTTAAAAATATAAGAATTGAACAAATCAACAATTATGAAGACAGAAAATTAGAGAATGTAAATATAAGCATTGAATTCTTATTTTTGGATGTGGTCGGTCCTATAACACACCTGTCCGTGTCGACAAATTATCATATTCAATTCAATTTGTCTGCATGACCAGGTGCTGTCATAGGACCGACGACATCCAAAAATAAGAATTCAATGCTTAAATATGAAGATGTTATATCCATTATCAAAAAACATTGGACGATTCTCACGCTATTAGGAATAGGCTTCCATAAAATATTTACTTACCAATCATCCATGTACTTATTTTAAGAACAATTTGGCATGTGAACATTTATATTAATATTTGTTGCTATTCGAAATGCATTCACAACTTCATAGAATCAATTTTTATATATTTACAGGTGCTTGAAATGGAACATCCCAATCCGAGAAATATACAAGCCCTGGCAACAAGAAAAATTCAAGTGGGCAATAAAAGCCAAGGACCCAAGCTTTATTTTTGCAAATTAAAGAACACATGATTCAAACAAAACATGGATGCATGGGTTACATGTATTATACATTTTGGACCTATTTAGGTGTAAATGATGCATGTATCAAATCTCATAAATATTAAGAAATTGTAGACTTTTTATGAAGTTCAAATTTCTTCCAGTTTTTGCCATCCTCCTTATCAATCTATATATATATTTTTTTTTTACCTTTTAAGACATTATTGAGAGATTTTAAATGGAAAATGAAACTTAATGGTGCTAAAAGTAATAATACATTCATTTTAATTTTTTTATATACAAACATATATTTGGTTGTTATTTTCATGACTTTAAAATCAAAGTTTGCTTGTAACATCTGGAAAATGTTGTTTGTGATATTCTTTTTTTAATCTTCATTTTATCAAAAAAGAATCTTGTGCAGATTAAGAACATTTTCTTACTGGGAGGAAGTGTCCTTCAAATGTGTTTTCCGTAATGCCCCAAATTGGACGTCACGCTTTTTTTGTCTTTAGATCGAATGTTGACAGACGTTTTTGATAGAAATTGTTAGGCAATTATTTTCATACTGATTTGACTGGATTTCTCCGTTTACATGAGCATGTTCACGGCGGGTGTGACTGGTTGACAGGGGATGCTTACTCCTCCATGACATCCCATCCCGACTTTAATGTTTCCAGGGGTCGTGTTTGCTCTACTCTCAATTTACTATGTTTAATTTGATTTTTCAACTTCATCATTGTTCGATATCTTCATTTTATTTCCCATATAAATATATCAAATCAAACATTGACTATTTGTCTGAACTTAAACAATATGTTCTCAGGTATTTATTGATATGATGTATATGTAGACAGTTTTAAAGGGGTATCACAAACTTGAGAGAGGGTGTGAATCTTTGAAAGGCAGAAAAAGGGATGGGAGGGGGGCATTTCACAACCCTACACTGCAAGCACTTATTTCTTTCGCTCTTTCGAATCGAAGTACAGTGTAGTTACATAAACTACACTATACATTGATTCGAAAGAGCGATTACAGTCGATGTATAGTATAAAATCTATAGTTCAGTGACGAAGTCAAGGGAAAAAAGACCAGTTCCTTTAAATATCCAACATTTTTGGGATGTATTTTCTATTCCGACCAAAAACAGAAACACAGAATACTCTAGCTCTCTTTCACAAGCGGTGGTCACAATCTCCCCTGCTCTCTGTGACTACGTGTATGCCCCTGTGATAAAAAATATTGTTATTTTGATGTACATATTCTAAAAGTTTGATAAAAATATTGTTACCAACATGTTTTACACTTATTTTATATTCTTTGTACCTATTTAATGGACTTAAACATTTATTTTGTATGTTATTCTCATTTGATCAAATTACTATATTTATAATAACAAATTTATAATATATATTTATAATAACAAATTACTGTATTTATAATAAATTTAATCTCACTCTTTATGCGTT